ATTTATTATTATTTTTATAACCCACAAACAATTATTATTCTTTTTAAAAAAATTGATGGGAAATGTCTTTAAATTACTTTAATTCATATAATAACTTCCATTAAACTTTAAAGGAGACAAGTCTTGTTCAAATTCACCCAAAAAGGTTTAAAAAAAAGGGACAAGTCTAGGGTCAACACAGTGACACCATGGCACTCCTGTAGCAATATAACGATAAAGAAGAGGACAACATACGCTATTAATTAACTAGTAAGACAAGGAAGACAGAGGCAATAATTGCCAAAGAAAGCAGAGACAGGCGGTGGTGGGACGGCGGAGCAACGCTTTGAGCTGGGCTTGGTGCCGTGGAGTCTATAGGTAAGCCGAATGGGGGCAAACCATGAGGAGCTGGGCTTGCAGCAGGACGCAGAGAAGGTGATGTGACCAAAATATCGACTTTCTGGCCGGCTTGGCAGTGGCCGGGAGTACCGCAGAGGAAGTAGTAATGGCCGGCTCTTTTGAGGGTGATGGAATCGGAGCCGGAGGTGTAGGTGGCCACGGGAGACGAGGCGTTGCATGACTGGAAATCTTGGTGGATCACTTGCTTCACGTTGTGGAATTGGTTGTGGTACTCGAAAATCAGAGAATCGCCGACGTGAAAATTATGGGAGGAAGCCCACTTCTTGTAGTCGATATTACCGATGGTGGTCCAGCCGGCAGAGTCACCGACCTTGTAAACTGCACCGAGGGAAACTCCAAACAGAGCCAACATTAGGAAGAAGAGCATGGTTTTCTTAGCAAAAGCCATGGCCAGAAAACTGTTCCAGAAGTAGGCAAAATACAAAGCAAGAAAGAGGCAGGGGAAATGAAGAAGAAAGAAACAAGGGAGAGAATTTATGAGGGACAAACTAACCGTGTTCGCTGTATATAAAGAGGGAATTTTACTTTTCTTAATATACTATATGAAATAGCTTTTTTATAATTCTTTCCATTCCTTTAAATTTAAAATTTTCAATTTAAAGGGATTGTTTTTGTGGTCTAACGAACACTTTTCTCTTATCAAGAATTTCTCATATTAATTCATAATTAGGGGTTAAAATTTCACCTTATGTTTACAAAAATTTTAATTTAAAATTTTAAACTTTTAATTATTAGATTAAGGTTATTAATAGCAAAATTTGTAAATAATTTTAAAGACTTGGGGTCAAAACAACTTTCATTTTGATTATTAAAATAAAACCCTATATTATTAAATGAAATAAATTAATATTTTTACTTTTAAATCGAATGAAATTATCATTCTTACAAATTAATCTAAATTTAATTAATGGTATCATCTTATGTCATAATTCCATCCATCCCCTTTTGTCACCGTTAACTTTCCATCACTTCCCTTGCATTCCGCTAACTTCTTGCTGGCAGGACGGTCAAGGGCCGATTTTTTTTGGAAAATGATTTTTATACAATTTTTTTTTACATAACTTGACGTATTATTAAAATAATTAATTTATTTAATTTATGTATAATTTATAACTTACTCATTTAATAACATGTAAAAATTATATAAAATTATAAGACAAAAAAATTGTTCCTATAACATTACTCAATTTTTTTTAGTGACATGGCAATCACTTTACATGCTGGACAAAACCAGTAGCAAAAACTTGCTCGTTCCTTTTTTTTTTTTTTTAAAGAATACTCTTTCTTTCTTCAATTGAACAAATAATTAATAATATTATAATATTTATTAAATTAATAAATACTCCATAAAATTTGCCAAAAATGGAATACTCTATTTTTAGTCAGGTTGCAAGAGCTTTGGAAAGGTTTAAAAATTCGTGGTGCAAGTATTGAAGTCACTTAAGATCATTGCATGATGCAGTGGTGTAAGTCTGCATTTTTTTTTCATACCTTTTTAGTTTGTTTTGATTTTAAGAGAGCTTGAAATTCTCAATTATTTATTTTCAAAAAAAGATAAGGGTTTCATATAGAAAAAAAAAAAAATTTGTTTTTAGTTCAGGTTGCCAACTTAGAAAACTTGTTTTGTTCAACATGTAAAGTGATTGCCATGTCATAAAAAAAATGGGCCCATGATTGTCCAATTAGCAAGAAGTTAACGGAATGCAAGGGAAGTGACGGAAAGTTAACGGTAACGGAAGGAGATGGATGGAATTGTGATGTAGAATGACGTTATAAGTTAAATTTAGGTTAGTTTATTTCATTCTGAAGGTAAAAGAGTTAATACCCATGAGCGGTAGAGGAGTTGACAGAAAACTCTTCCAATTTAATCAGAGATCTTGATTTCAAGTTTTGAGAATGTATTTCCGTTAAAACTCGTGAAGGAGAGTTTTGTTGTCCATTGAGTTCTGCTCGGTTCGAATTCGAATTAGTTAGTGACCCAGTAAACTTTCAGATACTGAATGATTCATACAAAAAAAAAAAATGTAAAAGAGTTAATTTCATTTAACTTGGAAAGTAAAAGTGTTGATTTATTTCATTAATAATCAATTAAAGTAGAGAGGTAAATTTTCTCTTTTGGTCTTCATAAACCTAATTAATTTTAAAATATTAATTTGTTATGATTAAATTTAAAATTAATCAATATTTTATATATTTTAATTTAATTCATTCATGTTTGCCTTGTTACAGATAACTTTTCACATCCATTTCTGATAATTAGTTCTACATTAAGGAAAAATCCTTTGCTTTTATAAATCCTTTCTCCTCAAACTAGGGACTTCAAATTTCAAAATTTTAAGTTCCCCTTGTTTAACTTGAGCATTATTTTCATGTAAATTTTGTTTGTGTTCTAGTAATACAGTTTTGACTTTTGAGTACATGCACATTTGCCATGTTTAAAGAAGGGTCGTGCACTTGTCTGTTTGGCTGAATCTGAACCGTTGATCCAATGGAAATAAACTTAAAAAGGAAGAAGAGTGGAGCCCTTGAAGAGGCAGTAACTAATGAGGCCTGGCTCAGGTTAGTTGGGCTAATTCAGGCTTACAATCAAGCAATTTATTGTTTTGGTCCACCATGTTACCCCCATGAATAAGGGGGACAGATGGCTTTGGTGAATTTCACACCAGACAAAGAACTGTATACATTTCTCCAATTTTGTTGAATTATTAAGGGACAGAATAAAAGCTTGGCATCATTAATGCAGGTTAAATGCCTAAGAGCTGTGAGAGCTAAGTGCAGACCTTTGATTGGATGAGTGTCCTTTTCTATTTTAATTTCAAATAAAATAACAGTCATTCAAGAAGATTTTATGTGGTGTGCAAGGATAGGAACTGTATAGCATCATACATGTACGGCATCACATATTAATCATGTCTGAATTCTTCATGGTGGAAGAAGGAATGTTTGTCAAGCAAACTGAAAACTCAAAAGACCAGCCTTCAGTTGATGTATTCACTTGATCTGTAATATACATGCTACAGAAAGGTCTCAAAGGAAACCACAAAGGAGACATGAAAAAAGGCTAGCAATCTATACCAAGTAATGAGACAAACATATCATGGGTGGAAGAGATCATCATGTTTCTGCAATCATCACTCACTAAAACTACAGGTGGTATAGACAATTCAACTTCTAAATCCTCTAATTCTATTGGATACAAGCAAATTATGAATTCCAATGAGATATTGAGATGATTGAGCATAATCATCTTGCACTGGTAGGAGCACATGCTGCAGTTGTATCCCCCTGATTTGACCAGCTCTCTTTGATTCCACACGCTTTGATAGGCCGTTCAATTTGATGCCCTTCAGCAGCCTCTTTTTGCAATTGAGCGCAGTATATTTGAAATGTCTTCACACTTACCTGAAGCCTGAAATCTAAATTAAACAAAAACTTCATCTCCAACCTGTTCAATTCAGCTGTGCTTATTCCCCCTATTCTAGCATAGTATGCATTGTTGAAAAATCTGCCAAACAAGGTAGGATTTTGTTTTCAGAGCTTTGCACAGGAAAAACATCATGTTAAACCAGATGAAACGTCAATATATGGAAATTAATTTCCCTGTAATTATCTTTTACAGATAGATTTATATGTATGGATTATCCATTATTATTATAATCACTAGAACTTGTTTAAAAGTCTCAGAACTTCTAAGATCAAAGTCACATACAAAATCCCCTAACTTCCACTTATTTCTTTCATTAACAAGGTAGAACAACATATATTATGTTTCTCTTACTCCTTTGCACTGTTCTCCCGGTCTTTCCCCCTGAAATTAATAAAGGGCAAGGGATATAAAACTAAACTGTTCCGATCTAGAACTCTGTTGTTGCGATCGGGTTGTACACAGCAACATATTGTAGAAACTTGAAAAGAATAAAAATAGGTAAAATGCACACATGAATCTCAAGGATTTGTACTTACGCATCATCAATAAATTTTGCTGCTACCATAACACTTGTTATAAGAAGCCGATGGACATTAAGAGAGGTTAAATGGATATTTGTTTTCTGAAGGAATCTATCCACGTAGATGTATGCAATAACAAAGCAGGAGGGACTGCAGCCTGCATACTTGAACATCCGATCAATATATTTCTGAATACTTATAGGGGGTACCCTCAGACCATGGAAGGATGTGGCAGTTCCTTTATCTTGTATTGTCTCCAGTAGGATCTCATTTTTTTGAATAGATTGCTCAAGGAGTGAAGAAAGAATTGACAAAATTCGTGGAGCTCCAAAAACCCCTTTGCCTGATTCTTTAATCCCCAAAGTAAGGTATGTATCTGAGTCTAGGCCGTCAGTTTCAAGTCCCAGAGATCCCATATCTAACTTGCACTGCAACAGTTAACATCAATGAGATAAGTTATGGATAAAAGTAACAAAACATTCTTATAATGAAAATCTAAAGAGCGAGATAAGAATGTTGTCACTGTGATTTTCATTAGAAAATGTACTGTGAAAATTTTCTGACTTAAAGAATTTTTATCATGTTTGTAACATGCAGATTTTACTCCTAATACAGTCAGATTCCCAGTTTCTACTAAGAAGAAAAATGTAATATATAGCACTTTCTTCAGTGAATTAACATAATCATTTTGCTTTGATCTGATAGGGGTCCTAATCTAAATTTGCAAATTGAATGATCTAGCTTGGGGCCAGATCAATCTTTTTCATAAGTCCAGAACTCAGTTTCCTCTAATTCATCCTCTCCTACTGTACAAATGGAGGATTATAAAGAACAGATCCAATAAAGCACTGATTTTCTAACCTAAAAGAAGCAAGTCTGTTTCCTCAAAACTCAGTAACCAGCAAAGTTACAAGAAGAAAACTTGATTGCTACAGAATCAGATCAAATAAAGCTATTAATTCCGTGAAATGATAATACACTAAAGAAATCTAAGGTAGAAGGAAAACCCCCCAACAAAATCAAAGGAAAAGGCATTGTTAACCCAAAACCCAATTCAAAAAACTGAATATCAGATCTAAATCTCCCAAAGAAGCATGCTTAAACAATATAGATTCCTATGCATTTCTTAGATTCCAAAAGACCCAACAAAGGAAATACATTTCATAAACTTACAGATCACTACAGACGCATCCACCCTTGCCGTGGAATCTGTTTCTCCACCAAAAGCTTCAGTCTTCAGGCAGAAAGAGAGATCAATCTTGCAAACCCATGTCCTGGATTCTCTGTACCCTCCCTTCCATTCTCCCTTCTCTTTTGTGCTTTCACTACAAAAAAGGAAACAGAGAAACAGAGAGTTTCTTATTCAGAAATCTTCCTCTCCGCCTCTGTCTCTCTCTCTTCCTTAGAAAGTCTGCGCTACTGTCACTGTTGAAGCTTTAGGTAAAATGGAAGATAGCGTTGGATGGGTGGAGAAAGCTTTTGTTTAACGTGATTAATGGAAACTAATTATTGTTTAATTAAATTAGAATCTTGGTTGGGTAGGAGTAGGATCGGGGGTTAACGATAAATTCACAGAAGAGTAAGTTCTGATTCACCCGGATTTTATTGATTTTGTTTTTATTTAGAAATTTCGGCTATTCAATATGTATTCAATT